TTTTTTGTTGGGAAACATTAAACTCATAATGTTTGCAATTGTTTTTGGCCTTGATGGAAAAACAGAGAAAAATTTGTCAATTTTAGTAAAAAGAGTAAAATCATGTTGATGAGCTTTTTCTGGTGTAAAATAACAGGAAAAGAAAATATGTATTAATTTATCAATACTACCTTTGATACCCAACATTCTCTATTGTAAGAAGATTTTAATGTGTTTCCCATAATTAAAGATGTAGAAATTATCTCAGTTTGCACCTGCCAAGTGATGTGGTGAGGTTGTATCAATCAATAAATCAGTTTAATTTAATAGATAAAAATGAGATGAAACACTGCAAAAACACAAAATCTTACCAAGTATTTTTGATTTAGTTTCTAGTGCAAATATTTCAGTACACTTAAAATAAGTCAAAACTAACATAGTTTTAATAACTTTTCAGCAAAAATATGAGCTTCTTTTAAGTCAGTGATTCCTTAATATTGATTTCTAAAAGTATTTGTTCTATTGGCAGATTATTTCACTTATAACATGGAAAACGTCTTATTATAAGTGAAATAATTTACCAATGAAATCATTATTAATTCTTTACTTAAAACAATCTCTTGTCTCTTGTTTCTTGTATTTTAGCTTTGCCTCATCTCAAGTCTACTAGACCAAAAATACTTGGTAAGGTTTTGTATTTTTGCAGTGTAGTGAACTTTTCCACTCTTCCAAACCAAAATGGACAAAAAGCAAAGAAAACATTAATAACAGAAAGAAACTCCTGGAATCTGCATGTTTGCTGAAATCCTGTTGGGTTTGTTACGTCCATCCAGTGTTTGTATTAAACCCTTTAAAATCAACTCCACCACTACTTGACAGGAAGTAGGCTGAGTTTCTCGTGGGAAAATGGCCGCCTTGATGAAATCCATGGTTTGGGTCGATGAGCCGTGCAGAGTTTTGATTAATGACCGTTATTATGTCGTCACATGTTGCTGCTCTAATCATTACATTTCCCACTGACCGTTCTAATTATTTCTCTGTTCACGGCTTATGGCCTCGTCTTCGGTTAATTGGACTAAAGTGGAACCTCAACAGCTCTTGGTACATATTTACTTTTCAGACTCACAGCTGAATGGAAAGGACGTTACCTTCGATACGTCAGTCGACTGTTAGCAACTCAGAACCGAAGTTGGACTTTGGATCACCAGCAAAACTTTGAAAAAGCTTCAATTTGACATTGGATTTATGTGACATTGCACTGATGGAAATTACTAGAATTACTGTGGTTACATGAACCTTTTCTCGCCAAACAATGATGAATCCAAAGGGGTTAAATCTGGTCTTCAGGAGGAATTACGCACATTATGTTTCGGGAGAAAAATAGCCAATTTCCAGAGTGAAGAACCCGGGTCTTTTGAGAAAGGCTGATTGTAATTATAAATTCAAGAGGAAAACTGTTTGGTCCCCTGAGACGATGTCTCTCTCTTGACATTTAACAAGCAATCAACCTGTGGGAAGCTTTTAAAATATCACTGGATATTTATAAAGAACACGGCCTTCAGCTCTCGCCGTCCCATGTGCAGAAACCCGCCTTTGTCTTCCTTAAAAAAAATCACCTCCAGCTTTTTTATAATTGATTTAATATTCCTATTGCTGAGTCTCTTCCTGTAATAAAAACAACATGTCTGACAGAAGAGATCCTTTCCTTTTTCCTGACGTAACTGAACGAAATCAAGAACTGCAACACATAAAAAGAGTAAAAAACATTAAAAAGTTTATAATCCATCAGAAAATGAAATCACTCTCATTTTAAACCAAACATTAAAAATGTTTCTTTTCTCTTTTTGTACAATAAATCTAGACAAAAATACTTGTAAGATTTTGTGTTTTTGCAGAACAGAAGTCGGTATAACTGTTGCAAAAACAACAACTTACAACCATTTCCTCCAGTTTCTACTGCAAATATCTCAGTACACTTGAATTAAGACCAAACTAACCTGGAAGTAAGTTTCCAGCAGGATGTAGCAGCTTTACCTTAAACATTTCCTTTCCTTAATGGAATATACTAATTCCACTAGCAGATTATTTAATCTGTATCATTGGAAATAATCTGCCAGTGTTACTCAAACTTTTCCCATATCTTGCTGAAAAAGTTATTTTTGTCTTATTTTCAGTGTATTTATAGATTCACAGTAGAAACTACAGATAAATATTTAAGATTTTTTTGTTTTTGGCCCAAATACCATCTCAGGTTGGATGATTACGGATTAATTTCCACCAACAGGCAGCTGTAATGATTTAATTGTTCTTAGCTCCTAACCCACCTGCAGAAGTGCTTACTCTGCACTGTTTATAGCTAGCAGCTTCCTCCAGGCGCGTAAACACATTAAGCACATTTGTGTTAAAACCCTGCAACGTTTCATTCTCCTTTGGAGGAGCGCGCGCTGCACAGGAGCGTGGCGGCGAGGATTACCCATGAATCAGAAAATGGCCTTTTAGTCATCCTTCCTCAGCTCAAGCGCGTTTACAGTCAGACAATACAAACAATGCTTCACGGGTGAACATCTTGGTTTACAGAGATTTCCAGAGCACTTTACCCTTCATCCAAACGCAGAGGAGGAGGGCGGAATCATTTTTCCGCTGATATTTTTAGCTTTTTCTGTGTGAGGAAAAGTGCGTTCATTTCTATTGTTGGCAAAGGAGGCGACGGTTGTGGCCACGGTGGGCGGAGCTTCAAGAGAAGCAGGTCAGACTGCCTGATCAATACACATATTCCAGTAAATATGCTGAATATGTACGGGATTGTTCTCTGATGGTGCATTTGTTCCCCCATATTTCCTTGTTAGACGTCCTGTTAGATTCTCGCGCTGGCAGCTCTCCCATATCCTCTGTAAATTACTCGATTTGGAAGTGAGATATGAGGCGCGGCGCGCACCCACACCGTTTTTCACATTCTGTACCTCAAGAATCTCGTCTTGACTGAAATCTTCTCATTCATTCACGGCTTATGTTCCTGAGAACGACTGGCGGGATGGAAATCATCAATTTGCCTCCATTCCCTGCATATCAAATACGAGCCTTTTTACCAAAAAAAGAAAAAATGAGCTGGAGCCAATTCTGATGTCATGATGCACTTTTTAGATCGAGTTTTATTTCTACGCTGATGATGTCAAACTATAAATGAACAAGATTTCATACACAAACAGGAAGTAAGAAGCTTCACTGTAAAAACTAGTCTAGCTTTTATTGCAAACATCAAAATGAGACAAAAATAACTACAAGTAACTTTTATGCAAAGAAACAGGAGCTGCTTTAAGTCAATACGTCCTTGAGTTTGATGAAAAAATACTTGTTTTGCATAAAAAGTGGAAAAAAATAGTTTAATTATGATTGTAATGTCCCTGACCGGCTCGCTTTAGATAATGACCTACTGCTCAAATTGTTAAAAGTAAATTGAACATTTAAGACAACATGTCCAAGTTATGAGGCAGCTCGTCATAGAGACATTTAAATCATGCATCTTTATGTTTTACGCCACAATGCCACTTGATTGAACAGTTTTTCATCTTTCTCATTTGGTGGAACGAACTGTGAGATCATTTTTGTGAAAAAGTTACCATTTAGTAGCTTTTGTTTCCAGAGCTTCTTCCTCTTTTTCATGGTGCCTTTCTCACCACTCTGCTCCTTCTTCTTTCCATCAACAGGCTCTTGATATTCGTTGTGTTTTCTTCTTATTAACTCCCTTCGTCTTGTTATGATCTTGTGCCGATGCTAAATAAACGGTGGAAATTATAACTTCCCGTAAACAGAGCGCTGCTGTGCGACGTTTTATTCAGTAAACAGAGAAGTCTGACCTTAAAAATATATATGATTTTAGCAAAAAATTGGAGTTAAGCATCAATTTAAAAACATAAATAAAAAACGCACTCACAGTCCTCCCAAAAAATCTGCTTTTATTTGTTAAAGTTACATTTACATTTATTTGATTTGCAATAAACTGAGTAAAACATTTATTCTGTCATTATTATATTCCAGCCTTGGATTGAAGCCTTGAATCTGAACATCCTGTTCCTGCTGCAGCTTCTCTAAGTTTCTAACTCTAAACTCAGGATGTGGGTGTTTTATGCATACATTAATTCAGTAATTACAACATTAGAATCTGCCTTTCTGAGATCCTTAGCATCTCCAGAGACCTCAGGGTGATGCTGAGGCTAAAGTTCACTTCTTTTCACTTTTTCAATAACCTTTAAATAAAAGGTTCACGGAGGTCGAGCTGAAAAGAAAGGAAGAAACGTGTTAATGCAAATCAAATTTCAGCCTGAAGGGATTAGAGGAATTAAAAATGAAAAATAGAAAATTCATCCTTCAGATGTAACTTCTGTCTTTACATCCGACCTCTGCTGATTGTAGAAGACGGCCTTCTCTGTGCGGCTTAAAGGAAACGGATCAGAAAATGAACAAATAAAAGGTTTAAATCAACACGAGTTCAGAAATCATCCAATCAAACAGATGGTGGCGTTATTATCCTGATTATTTTGTTTAAAAACTTGGCCAAACCAAAACTCAATGTTTAAAAAAACAACATAATTATCTTTACAATAACTGATTCATAATCTCATTTTATATCCACTTCAGTCAATTCGATCACTAACTGACATTTCAACGTCTGACCTACGAGAAGGAGCCAAGCTTCAGGTTTCCACATCCAAATGAGGAAAATAACTCAGAAACCAGAACGTTTTAATCTGAAGTTGCATTTTGTTCCTAACTTAACTCATCAGACAGAAAACACTGTTACTCACATTACAGAGAGCAGAAAAATAAGCATTACTGCAAAAACTTCAGATTTTTAAAAGTTGAAAATTAGTTTGAAAAAACTCAGACACTTTTAGATTAATCTAAAACAATTTCTAGAAAAAACATGGACATTTTCTATTCAACTGTTTTCAGTTTTGATTTCTCAAACTTGTTTTTTTTTTTTCTTGAAAAATTCTGAGATTAATCTCAAAATCTCAGAGTTTTCCGTTGATTTTTTTTACGTCTTCTGAGCTGATTTTCTTTTTATGTCGACATTGGTCAAATATTACAAGTCTATAATTCTTTCTCCTTCTTTTCACTGATGAGTCTTTAGTTGCTAATTTAACTATTCTTATTTTTGCTGGAGTAAATGACATAAAAAACGCACTCACAGTCCTCCCTTTGTCCTATTTTACGTATTTGCCCTGGAAACCAGACCAGAAACATTTGTTGTGTTTTTGCATATTTAAAACAAAATGAACGGTGGGGTTTGGCTATTAGTCTCCAACAAACACAACAAGGTCACTGGAGTTTCTTTCATTTGTTATTCTAAGCTGGCTGTCATGAGGCTGATTCCAGCCATGATGATGAATAATGAGTTTTTGGTTTTTGGTCACAGCTGGACAGAAGTGAATAAAGAGGCTAATTAGGGAGGACAGCAACAGTTAAAGTTTAGATTTTGGGGGTTGAAAACACTTGAAGGTATTCCCTGGATGAATCCTGCTGAATGTTGCCGCTTTGTCTCCCCACTTGGCCGCGTTTAAACGTCTCCTGCTGCAGGTGAAGCCCAGATTTTCTGCTTCAGGATTCAGCCGGACTCGGAGCTTTGCAGGAAGCATTCGATCTCAATCCCGTCTCCTGTCTCTGCTTGATAGGCCCAGTCGGAGCAGCGGTGGCGGCTTACCTGGGCGCTGCGCTCTGGACCGCCGCCTAATCATCTGGCCTCAAGTCAGGCAGGACAGCTGAGTCCTGAAAGGACCCACCGCATCCGCACCGCTGCAGGAAGACGAGGAGGAGGATGAAGGAGCAGGAAGTAATCGCTCTCCTCGTCTGACGGGATGTGCATAACGACCCGGCGTCCTGCGCTGGCCAGGTGAGTGCAGAGCTGAACGGCACCGGGACGCTCACTGAGAAACAAACACAGATTCTCCTCACTTACAACAAGGAGCAGCTAACGACCGGAGGGCCGGAGCGGACTCGGCTCAGGAGAACTTTTAACTCCTGGGTCAGGAGTTTGAAGGACAGGAACATTAAAACTGTTCATCAGGTCCTAAATGGGAGAAGCTCAAAGCTTTTTCTGGACCTTAGGAAGCATGAAAGCAGGTCTGTTCCTGTGATTATTGAGATAAACGATAATATTGTTGTTCTGAGGCCGTTTTACTAGTAATATACTGATAATGGCATAATAAGAGCAAGTTCGCTCTCTCAAAAACCAATAAACTTTAATTTTCTAAAGGACACTTCACTTTTATTAAAAAAAATGTTTTTTACATATTTAACTGTCCACATCAAAACAGTATGAGACAGATAATCTGTGTTTCCATGTGAAGAACCAAAACCAACCAATCAGAGCCAGGAGGCGGGGCTTAGCGCTGCCAATCAGTGCCCATGGATTGTAAGTTAACAACCTGGAGGTTTTTGAAATGACTCATTTCCCAGAAACCAAAAAACATGAAGCTTTTGTCAAAAACCAGCTGGATGTTTTTCTTTAAATACCTGGCTTGTTTTTAAAAACATTTGATGCAAACGGAAGTAAAAACAATTGCAAAATGTTAACGTATTAGGTTCCCTTTACGTTCTGGAGAAGTACTCTCTAAATATCCTAAAAGATACTCTGTAAGCTTTGATGCAAAACACACGAGGTCCAGACGGCAGCCTGACTGATTCAGGAACATAACTTAGAAAAGCCGTTAATAAATATTTCTACCCGAGTTCATTTTCTTTCTTTTACGACATATTTTGCTTCTCTGTAGTAAATGTAAATTTTTTTGTAATTTCTTCTATCTGTGCAGCATCAGATGCAGGTTTAGTTTGGAACGGCTTCGCAGAGCAGCAGCTTTATCTCCTGCAGTCGGATGCAGCTGCTGCTCCTCTGCTGCTCAGTGGGAGTTTCTCCAGGAAGCGGCTCGGCGGGGGGCCGGGTCGGGCCGAGCGATTAGCTCCGGCACATCCACGGATCCTCCGTGTTCGGAGGATCATTTGCCTTCCCAGATAGTTAACGCTGATGTGCGCCTGGTGAGGCGGCGCCTCCTCCGATGGTCACGTGGTTTCAGAGCCGCTAACGCTCCGATCAGTCACCAGAAATCCAGCAATCACACTTTAACGAACACGCAGAGAGCGCCTGCGTCTGCTCCCCCTTCACTTTCAAATAATAGCCGTGATTTGCATATATTAGCTTTTTTTCATTTCCTAAGCCTGCTCACACATCTGCTCAGAATTAGTCATTATCGTTTTCTCGGTAATTTGGCAGGGGGACGCCACAACTTGCTCCGAGTGCTCTCCTCAGAAACCAAACAGAACTTCATCTGTGGGAAGATCTGTGCTTATTTTAGCTCCACACTGCAAAAAGTATTTTTGTCTAGTTTTTGCTGCAAATGGTGCTTGAAATAAGACAAAACTAGATTAATTTCCAGCAAGGTATAGGAGCTTGTTTTACATCAATAATTCCTTCATATTGGTTTTAAAAAGGACTAGTTCCACTGGCAGTTTATTTCACTTGTAAAAATAAGTTTCCTTTTTAATAAGTGAAATAATCTTCCAGTGGAACTAATAATTTTTAAGGAATTATTGACTTAAAACAAGCTTATCTATCCTGTTAAAGTTACTTGTATGAAGGTATTTGCAGTAGAATCTAATCCAAAAATGGGGAATGTTTTGTGTTTTTGCAGTGCAGGCACTTTATCTCTGTGATTATTTTAGTTTCCTTTCGCTGCAGGAGCGGCGGCGACGTTCTGCAGGATTGGAAACGTTGATGTCTGATCGGTAATGATGATGGCGATGACAACCTGGCGCACGGCGGCGGCGCGGGAGAGCAGACGACTCTCACAGATGGTGGAGGAACTTAAAGGTTGGGCTGTTGGTTGCCGTGTTTGTTCTGCTCTCCTCCTGGACCAATCGCGCGGCTCCGGAGCCCCTCTGAGTTGATTAACCGCGCCGGCTTGCCAGCAGCTTCCCTGATTGTGATTACCTTCTGTGTTTTCTAATTTGGACCCGGCTTGATGTGGTTCTAAGTCTGAGCGCTTGACATTCCCTCGAACGGGCCACAAAATCCGTCATTAGCCGCTGCATGCGCGGCTCCTGCTCCTATTGTCTTTGTCTCATTTAATGCTTGTCTCGTGTGAAATGAACTATCAGGCCACCAAGAGCACTTATGATAAAAAATGATGGTGGGAATCCTGAAATATGGAGCTTTATGGGAGCCAGAGCCTACTTCTACAAGGTTAATGAACTCTCACTAACTTTAATAGTCTGTTTTCCGACTCATGCATCTTCATAAAAGCGCCCTTCCCCAAAGTCTGCAGGCGAGGGGTGCCATTTCAAACAGCTGTGCCAGGCGAGCCAAATGAAAGGAACCTCATGATGAATCGCATCCTCCTTCCTTCCATTTCTGCGCCGTTCACCTCACCTGGCAAACTGTCGGAGGATTACCTTCATTCCCCCTTGATGCCGAGATGTAAGCGAACGGAGAGGATGGGTGGGGGAGCGACGTTAAGTTCCTAATCACCTGGACCGAACGAGGGCGCGGAGGGGAGGCGGAGTCCCAGGGGTGGCATTAAAGCGCGAGCAGCCGGGGTTGGAGCTCCAGGCTCGCTCGCAGGTCTGCAGATACACAAAGGCTCACATTTTATCTGCTGCCTGTGTGTGGAGGCAGGCTCAGGCTGAGGACCCCCAGATACAAACATGGAAAACATGAAGTTTGTTCACTTTGTGGTGATTTTTATTCCCTCGTTTGTGTTTAAAGCTTTAAAAAGTTTGATTTTATCTGAAACAGCAGCAGTTAAAAATGAGCTATATATGCTAAATCAGACTTAACAAACAGCGTCCTTAAGTAAAAGTACTAACAAAAATGTTCTCTAGCAAAAGTACTTGCTTTTAAAAATCCTTAAAGTGCTTGTTGAATGTATTCCAGGATCATTAAATGTGTTTTGCCACCTGATAGTCCAGTAGATTAGTTATTGGGGACCAAAGTCACAACATTTCTTACATTTTCAGCTGCTCTGGTTCTTTTTCACATTGGGTCAAACCAAGCAAACTCTTTCAAAAGCCTGTTCCCCTCCTCGCCTGTGGGGGCGCTGCACCAAGAACCACTGATGGAAACAACATGAAAACCTCTGAAGAAGACACTGAAGTCAATAATTCACAAAATGTAAACTAGAATGGAGTAGCGTCAGATTTTAACGGTTTCTGTTTTGTCTTTTTTTCTCCTGCTAGCGCTAGCCTCTCGCGCTTGTTTTGGTTTCTAAATTAGTTATTTTCATCAATATTAAGGAATTATTGATGAGTTTGGATTTGGATATTTTTTTATTTTGCCTGATTTTATTTTAAAATTATGTTTTTTTTTTGTTTGTTTTTTTTTTGTTTTTTTTCATTTTGGTCCCAAATTTCCAATTTTCTAGAATGCGTCTATTTTTCACTTTTACTTGAGCATAAATATGTTTTTGGGTACTTTACCAACCTCTATGTGTAAAAACGACTTATTGAAACCATTCAGTGTTTTACACTTTGCCAAATATACTAAAGTAAAAATTAAATGATATTCTTTTTGTTTTTGGCAGGTTTGCAGTTTGTTCATTAGGCCTCCATTATGGTAGAAGAAACACAAACGTGCAAAATAAAATACGAGACATTTGATCCCATGCGTCCCCCGGGAGGCGAGGCGGAGATTAATCAGTTTATTTTGGGCGGCGATGTAGAGTTTTATTTATACAGATATATACATGTAGAATGTGTCTGGCGCCGGCAGCTTGTTCTTACTTTGCCAGCTGCTTTTCTTGCCTGTAGCTCAATGAAGCCGTGACATCAGGTGACATTTAAAATATTTGTGACAGAAATATTGCGGAAGCATCTTTGCTGTCAGGAGGGATGAAAGCAGGAGGTGAAGGCGATATGATCGGTTTATATTTTTGGAGCTGATAAACAAAGTCTCAGGAGTCTGGAGGTGGGTTCTGGTTTGGTTGGATGTTTTCCTTTGTTCCGGATCTGGAGGTTATTTAAAGTGTCGCTGCGTGTTTGGAGCGGTTTCCTGATCAACACCTACACACAGGTAGGCCACCAACCTCAGCAGCAATTATCCGTGCCAAAAATGACAAACTTAATTGTAGGCTAATGTTTGTGTCGCCACGGTGACGGGAAGGAGGTTAAACGCTCGTGTTGTTTTAGAGCTTTGTGGATAAAAGCAGGACAGAAGAGATTCAGGCCCACCGAGCCGCCTGTGCAGCTGATTTACTTCATTAACGATTTATTATCATCATCATCAACAAATGGATGGATGTGAGGATTTCTGACACGAGCAACTGAAACTCTCTTCATGTATTTAGTTTTTAAAACTTTACACTGAACCAACATCCATCCATCCATCCATCCATCCATCCATCCATCCATCCATCCATCCATCCATCCATCCATCCATCCATCCATCCAAACTTTTCTCGTCTTTTCTCAGCTCCTCCAAACTAAAACCTGATCTGGATTGGTATCCATTCATTGAATCTCTGGGTTTCATTTCCGTTTGTGGTGAAATTAAACTTCGGTGCTCCTGGTTTATTTCTGTTCTTCTCCGGCTCTTTGGGTTCCAGCTGAACCCGACTCTGAGGCGCTTGGTTCTGAAGAACTGCAGTGAGTTTAATCACTCAGCGTTGGTCACTCCAGCAGCACGCCTGCCCTCCAAACTCCGTCCACAAATAACCGCTGTGGGTTTGGAGACGTGAAGGTCAGCCTCCTGCCCAACACGGCACGGCGAGTTTCACTCTCACTCTATTCCTTCCCCGTCTCTCCAGTTACCACCTTCCTTAACTCCCATTATGGACTCCGTCTCTTTATTTTCGCTCACCGCCTCTCAATCTCCGCCTCTCCGTCTCTCTTTGCTAGCCCAAGCTTAACATGTCATTGGGAAACCTTGAGGATAAATGAGGTCTTCAGCGAGAGGCAACCATCGACTTGGCATTACAATAGAGTTAGAATCGTTATAACTCACTGAATCTGCTGCAGGATGACAGCGCTGTTTGCTTTGGAAAGCCCATAAAGCCTGATGCAATAATCCTTGCAGGAGGAAAGGCAGAAGTTGTCATAAAATCAAACATATGCTCTGCAAGGGCGCTGAAATTGAATAATCTGTGACAGCGCTGTCCCAAAAAAACAAATTTGAATCTCCTCTTTCTTGCTTCATAGGCTCCATTTAAATGCACTCAGTGGAAAGTAAGGAAAGAAAACAGCATTTAGGTTGGGGTGAAATATGCTCCTCGTTAGAGTTGTCAGTGGGGAAAGCAGAGACGTTGAAGCTTTAATCGCCTCCCTTTCATACGCGCAGTAATGGGACTTAAACATCTGTGTCTCAGAGGGTGAGATGCAGGGAGGAAGGGGAGCGGCCTGCGTCTTGTGGTCGAGTATCGCAGAGACCCTCTGGAAACATTCAAGTCGCCACAAAGTGAAAAGTGGATTACTTTAATTCAAGTGGGTTTTAAGGGGGTTGAAGTGGGAGAGAGGAGGCTGCTCCCCCTCTGAAGGTTTAAAAATAAATGTCAGCCCTTCTCCCTCCACCCCTGGGTTTTATCTCTGGAGACCCCAAGCAGCCGCTCGCTTCTTCGTTTCTTTAAAGTTGTAGCTGCAGGTCTGTGGCAGAGCGGCTCTTCCAACTTAAATTAGCCCCAGTGATCCCAGAGAACAGACTAACAATGGATATAATACATTTAGTTGCGTTTCCTTTAACCATAAAATTGTGCAAATTGAAATTATGAAAATAAATCCCCTTAATGGAAACAACAACTCACGCTTTTTGATAAAAGAAGTTTTAGAAGAAGGATGAGAAGGTTTTAATTTTCACAAAACCATCTCATCAAAGGCTAATGCAAAAATACTTTCATTACATGAGTCATGTGATGAACAGGATGTTACTACTGACAGAAACGACAAAGAAGAAGACATATAGCGTGAGCAAACGTCTTCATTTTAATTGCATTTCTTATTTTATGGAAATGCAGCAGTTGCGAATCTGTCTGTTTAGACATCAGCAGGATAAAAGCACACATTTGTAATGGTTTTATTTTTTATAAAACCGCAATGGAAACACTTTTATTGCATCACGAGTCATGTGATCAACAACAGGATGTTACTACCCATGGAAACGACAAAAGAAATGACAGGAAGTAGTAGGAGGATAACGGCACTGCATGTTTTTTTTATCATGAGCACAAAAAATTCATGTGATTTTTATTGCATTTCTTATTTAATGGAAACACCACAATTATGAAATTGTGTCTTTTCAACATTAGCAGAATATCAACAAAGTTTTGCGTACATTTATAATGAAAAGTGATCCTAGAGAATTAAAAAATTTGTAGTAATGGGCATATTTTATATTATTAAATATGGCCACATCTTAACAACTGATTGAAGTGGCTTGTTTTAAGTAAATAAATTATATATATATATATATATATATATATATATATATATATATATATATATATATATATATATATATATATATATATATATATATATATACTAGTTCCACTGGCAGATTATTTAACTTTTTCCCATATGATCAGTGAAATAATTAAGGATTTATTGAGCTAAAACAGGCTCTTCTATGCTGCTTAAAAGTTACTTGTAATTCTAAAATATTTGCACTAGAAGCTGCACAAAATAATATTTTCTGTTCTGAATCAGTTAAAATCCATAAATACCAAACACAACACAAATAGAAATGTCTCCTTTAGTCAGAACCTCAACAATAATCACTCTTCTTTTTTTATTTCTAATTAAAGTAAAGCCATTTTTTGTATCTTTTTCTACCAGTTTCCCCTGACATACATGCATACGCCACTGATCCCTCCAGAAACCTTCTCTGCTTGTTGTGCAGCAGGTTTGGCTGCAGATCTGCCTCTGCTGTGTGTTTGCATTCCCTGGACCAGCTCTGACTTGTGGTTGTTCACCTGAACCAGTAGCAAAAGCACTGATGTAAAAAGAGAATATTTTGTGTTGCTGTGATTTCAAACCTCACCCATCATATTCTGAAACTCGAGTGAATAACTCACAGTTGTCTCTCAGAGTTTTTCATCTTTTCTTTGGGAGGTGAGGGAATTTATCACGTAAGCACTGCATTGATGTAGCTTCTTGAGAAGTCACAGGACTCCTGTGGAAAGGCTGCAGGGGATGTGGGTAAGAGAAGCCTCCTTCATCCCAAACATGACCAGAGGATGTGTTCGCAGAGACCTTGTGACAGAGAACTTTGAAGCTGCTTAAACTTGACAAATCATCGTGTAATCGCTTTGCAACATGAAAAATTAGGGATTTTACTTCCAGAACAAAAGTTCTATGAAGAAAACTGGTCATAAGATGAACTTAATGGGAAAAATTAGGACATTCTACAACAGGCCTTTGTTGTATGTTTAACAAATTTACAACATGTTACACAGAGTAACACATTCCAAGCTTTTATTTATTAATATTAATAAAATATATACACTGGCTCCTCTGGCTGATTATTTCACTTATAACAAGATATTTTCCATGTCATAAGTTAAATAATTTGGTACTTTTTTTGCCAATATTAAGGAATTATAACTTAAAACAAGCTCCTGTTTCTTGCTGAAAAGTTACTTATAAGTTAGTTTAGTCTTATTTCTATATTTATTTTTTCTTCTTTTTGCAATTCAAGTCAGATATTTGTATATATTTTCCAAATAAAAATGATTTCCTCTCTGTCTGAAGTTAAATCAGTGCATTTTTCTTGTTTTAGATCAGTTACAGTTACCAAAATAAACTACATTTGCTAAATGCCAGAAAACTTAGTGAGAATATGTTAGTGATTATTTTGTAGCATGTTTTGTAAAATACATGCACATCTGGTTGAAAATATTATTTAAAAATGCTTGCCTATCCAGTTTGTTGATTTTAAATGTTTTTATTTATTTATCGTTGTTTGGTGTTTGGGGA